CCCACTGCATGGGATGCCATTCCATCACAAGTTTATCCCCCAATTTCATTAGGTGTCCATGACAATTTACTGTTACCATTTATTCTCCTGGCCCTAGTTGTTTGAAGGTCGGATAATATGCTATCCACTGAATAAATCTCTGTCCAGTGTCTAAAGCTATATGTTAATTTGCTATCACCTATATGCTGGATAGCAACTTGTCCGATGGAAAGAGTAATCTGCCCTTTTAAAAACTGTAATTTCAAGAGAATTTTGTCCAAGAACAGAACACAACGACATGGCCAGATCTCAAATGCAAACCTCTTAACCCAGAGTCCAGCACACTAATCATGGGACTACCAAGTCACCCACCCAATGCGTTAATGAGAAAACACTGGCAATGAAATGGACTCATTTAAACAGAAATAATCTTACATCATCCTGAGTGAGCTCATTTCCGCTTTTCAAAAGATGAACACTTTTGTCGACAGCAGTTACTGCTACTTGAGATCCTGGCTCTGCTGTTATGATCAAACTGGTAGCTTCCCCTGGTTTTCTGATGTTGTCATCAAAACGAATCTTTACCTACATGGAAAACAGACACTCTTGATGCATATCATGTCATATATATTGCTTTCTTACCCACTGTAAGCATTTATCACATGTCTCTTCTCAACATGATTTTTGCTTATTGCCTTAAATTAAAGGAGCCATTGCACATTGGCTGCTTCCAACCTGAATTGAATGCTGAGATGAAAAACATCTCTAATTATTTATTTGCATAGATTTACCTTCCAAATGTTACACTTGCACGCACATGACTAGTTAAACCACTGCAATGAAACTGTAATTGAACTAAGTGGAGTGCAGTTTGGTCTGAAATCATATGGGTGATTTCAAACCAAACTTGCATGACACAAATGTCAAGTACCACTTTGTTTCATTTATTATGAAATCGCAAAATTCAGTTGCTCAGATACAGTACGCAGTGTATCTTTTCAATTCACTTTTATGGATAAATAAGGTAAAGTTTACGACACTGTGGCGGCTGCCTTTACCGATTAATAAAGGGATGCGAGAAAACTGTAGTGAAGCAACCACAAGTCTAACAAAATCAGGCTTGTCCGTTTATTTAAGGCTTGATAGACGATAACTTGATAAACATGAACTAAAGATTAACAACAGTTCGATCAAAATTCAACCATACTGACCGTCAAAGACTGTTAGGTTCCAACACAAAACACGAGCGTGTTCCTCCGTAAATTCTAGCTACATAAAGATTTTTGTCACGGTCCTAAAGCGGTTCAGAGTCCACGTGCAAATCCAAAATGCCCGTATAAAGAGATCATGTGATGTAACAAAACTAAAGCTGAGAAGGCGTTACAGACACAATGTAACCGACAAGTTACCGACACTTCACTGACAGGTCACCAACAGTCGGCCAACTGTCGGCCGTCTGTCCGCCTTTTGTCGGTCAACTGTCGGTCGACACTTTTGACTAAAACTGTTGGCAAACTGTTGGCCGACAGTTGGCCGGTTGTCGACCGACAGTTGGTCAACAGTCGACCAAAAGTTGGCCGACAAATGGCCAACTGTCAGCCGACAGGTTTTGTGGGAGCTCTCCTTCACAATTACTGTCTCAGTGGACAAATGTTTTGTTGAGCAAATAGTTAACTGGTTTGTTGAAAGTTGCAAAAGTTGTTTTCCATATTCTGAAATTTGATTGGTTCCTTTGAATAAGTAATTGATTGTCCTATTTTAATCTTTAGCATTTTAATGCATTTTCAGAATTTCCAGTTTACCTCATTTTCCAATTTGTCTTCCACATCAATCTGCATATTATCTGCAACAGTCTCTTGATCATTCCGCACATAAAACAACAACAGGCGGGATGATGGTACCATCTTCTGAGTAACAGGAAACTGAACAAATCCACTGGTTGTAAACATTTCTTCACGTTTAGAATTCATCACTGTTTTCATGGGTGGCTTAAAGTCCACTTCGTGAAGATTCCTTCCTTGAGCTACCAGAACTCCACGGCTGAATACCTGAAGATTAGAAGGCAAAAGATTTTTAATCATAGGTTCCTTAGAGCTACCTCAGGATATGTTTAGGACTCATTTCTTCAATTTAGTGCTGAGAACATTAGAGAATGGAGTGAGTGAGTGAGTGTGTGAGTTTTCCTTGCTTACAAAAACCTCATAGTAGGACTGATATTACACCATGAGGTAAAAATGGCACACAAAAAAATTCTTTGATATCAGCTTTATGGAAAACACCAATACTAGGACAAATTACCATTTTATTGTCAATTAAAAAGAGAATGTTTCCTGGAGTGAGAAGTTTGAGTCAACCACTTTGATATTTTGAAAGTTCTAAATGAAGTTTCTTGGATGCCACTATTACCTGTTCTATATCTTTCCAAATAGAAGAGCTTCTCAGTAATAAGCCATTTCAGAGATGTCAATCCCTTTACTTTATAATAAGAGTAAAAGGAAAGCCTTTGATAGAAATATTTATTCTTACCATGCAAATAAACCTAATTTTCACTTCAAAAGTTTGAACTTTGCCTTGTATCAAAAGTGAGGCCTTTTGGAACTTGGAAATGGTCTCCTACTGTTTGACGGTTGCACAGTATGTAACTGTGTGGTTTAATTGTTCATCTCAAAATGTTATATGGCAGGAAAACAACATACACTTTTATTGTAATTTGTATAAAGTATATTACTCATCGTGGAAATACATCAGAAGTATTTTGGTTGGCATACAGGAATCCCAGTCAAGATGACTGAATTGGAGCCCTGGCAGGATCATTTTCTTGTGCCTGGACACAAATAAAGCGTACTTAGCTCTCAAGGTGCCGCTTGCTAATTAAGAGTATATTTATGGACACTGGATGGTGAACAAGGTAATTTGAAAAACACTCACTTGGTAATAAAAAGTAATGTTCTTTGGTTCAGCTATGGTGGTGAAGTCAAACTTAACTTTTGCAGTTGATCCAACCTGTTTTGAAAAGAAATAATTGTTATTACAGTGTGATATACACGTTGTAATCATTACAAATGTATTGAGGCAGGAGCGTTATTATATGTCAAATGCTCATGAAATGTTTTCCTTGCATGTACACATAATATAATCATGCCCTGAAATATTTGATTAGAATTCGATTGTTCATGAGTTTGACTTCAATTTTTAATGACAATAAATAAACTGACAGTGTGTTTAAAGTCAATATGGAGTATTAATTACCAGGGTTCAAAATAATGGCCACTCAACAGTAAATGTCTGGCTAAGATAACTATTTATCTAGACAAAATTTCAGTTTGGTGGCCATTTTGAATGGTAGCATACTTAGGTTTCAAATAAATAACTAAAAAAATTAATTTATTTGCATTAATTCAGGAAATTATAAATAGTTAAACAGTTGAGACAGTCACATTCTGCAGGATGTGACCAAGTTAAGATTGGTTTGGTCAGTCATCATGGCTGGCCACTGTCCAAAAATTATTTTGAGCCTTGATTACTAACCATAATGTCAATGAACAGGAAGCCATTGATAGTAATGTAAATGAGGTTGTGGGGTTACAGGCGTGACTTGTGTCATGCCACAGCGGTAATAATTTATTCAAAGACTAGCACCATGTGAACAACATGTTCACGATAATAACACGTACACCTAACAAACTGTACAAATAGAAGCTTACGTATGATGCATGATCCTCACAGTAGATAGCGCTATTTAAGCAATAGCGAAATTCAGACCTGAAAAAAATCAGGCCTGTACGGGACTCGAACCACTGACCTCTGCGATACTAGTGCAGCGCTCTAACCAATTGAGCTAACAAGCCAACTGAGAGCAGGCCGTTAAGTTGATTCGTAATGAACCCGTGAAAGTGATAAATGAGATAGAATAAATATATGAAAATCATATATT